AAGGCTTTACCACACTGATTACATTCATAGGGTTTCTCCCCTCTATGTCTTCTTTGATGAGTAAGAAGATAACTGTGATATGCAAAGGCTTTACCACATTGGTTACACTCATATGCTTTCTCTCCGGTGTGTTTACTTTCATGACTTTGGAGATAATTGTTATTTTCAAAGGCTTTATCACATTGTGTGTATACAGAAGAATTCTCTCCAGTTTGCCTTCTTTCATGCCTGCCAGGAAAAGGGTCATATGTAAAGGCTTTACCATATTCAGTACAATGTTGAATCTTGTTACTTGTATAAATTAATATTACAATTTATTTCAGTTGGAAAGAAGAATCAGATATTATAGTCTTATCACTGTGTTTACATTCTTCTTTTCCCCTTCTTTAAGGGTTGCATGTATCTTTGAAAATAGCTGTGAAGATATAATCCTTTATTACATGGTCTCATTTTCAGAACCTTTTTGTATAGGTGATTTTTCACATAATGAGGAGAACTTGAAAAATTCAGAAGTTTATCATCCTTTTTTATATTATTAACTTTTCCTTCGCTGCTAATGAAGTACAACAAAGAGAAGTATTTACACAGTCATAGAGTCATCGGGCTTTTCTACAGAGTGAGCTTGGTGCATTATCAATGAAGATGGAAAACAAATTACTGGTACACTTGTATCAAATTCAGCAAATATGCTCAAAATGGGGACTACTACACAACTTTTAAATAGCCTGCAAGAGAGGTATATCATATTCTACATATCTCTTTGCTGAAATGGCTTTTATCCCGACTAGTACATGATATTCTTAATAATGTAAAGATTATAAAGAAGCGCCTTCCTCATTTAATTCAGTTTGACTTTCTGTTCTTTATAGATATATGTTATTGTGATTACACATTCCCTACAATAACTGCCCCTTGACTCTTGACAATGATTGCTCCTGTCACAGCAAGTACATAAGTAAAACCATCTTTTCTATGGAGTATTTGCTTAATGGAAGTTCTGAAGACATCACTATCAATTCAATCTTTTCTATATCTTTAGTTATATAGCTAGTATGAAATAAGTGGATTTACTGTACTACAGCATAGCTTCCGTGGCGTAATGATTTAAGTGGCAGTTCCTCACAATGCATTATTTCCTTGTCATCTTTCTTAAAATACTGCCTTGAAAATGCAGTTAAATAGAGTTCTATGTTCTTGTGAGGATTTAATAATCATCAATGCAAATTAAACTGTGCTTAAATACACTGCTGTTACTGTTTCAAACTTCAGGACACATTTCAATTTCTTCAGAGACACATTTCTGTGAGCTTCTAACTGAAAATTACCTGTCATGTCTTTTTGAACTTGCACAATGTTCTTCAATAATATTGTCTTCCCAAGTGTATCCTAAAATATAGGGCAAGAAAATGTATAGAGTATTGTTGAGAAATAATATAGGCAAATGTGCAAAAAAATATGTTTCTGTCCTCAGTGAGCTTTATAACATTGATTTATTTATTACATTCTTTTTCTATCTCAATCAAATTAAAGAAGAACACCAATAACCAAGGAACAGTTGTCCTATTATTTTAAAATGGGAAGGAAAATATACTCTTACCTATATCATTGAGGTTCTCATAGGTCTCCAGCATCACATCTTTGTAGAGATTCTTCTGAGAAGTATCCAGCAAAGTCCACTCTTCCCAAGTGAAGTCAATATGCACATCTTTATAATTCATGGCATTCTAAAATATCATACACATGTATGCAACTTAAAAGAAAATACTGACCATATTGTAAATGTATGTTTCTGTAGAACCTTATTTTAAAATGTGTTACTTTTATGCTATACAAAATTTGCTTAATGAAGTAAGTATGTGTTAATTTTTTTCTCATGTATTAGTTTAACTTTATGAAGCTGTTATTCTTTGCCTGACTACAACATCTGATATTCTGAT